AGAAAAGGCGAAGTAATGCAGCAGCTTCTGTCTGTCTGTCTGTCTGCCTGTCTCTCTCTCCAGTGTGAATGAAGAATAAATGAAGGCGCTTAAGAAGGCGGAAGTATATAAATAAATAAATTTTATAATAATTATTTCAATGTGTCTGCAGCAGTAGATTGCTAGGGGTTGTGTTTGAGTATAATTATTAAACAAGCGATCTATAGAGAAGCTTTTGTATGAAAAAAGAGCGGGAAAATCAGCGAATAAGAGGCGAATATAATTAAATTAATTAATTAATTTATTTATTATTTAAATAATACTCTTTTCATCATTTTTTTAAGCAAAAAAAAGATAATGCTGCTTAGCTCTGGGTGTAAGGACTCGATAGCTGTTGTATTTGTATGGGTTGCACAGCTCTACAAAGAAACTGAGGGATAAATTCACCTATTTTCTTGCTTTTAAATGCATTGCTAGGATATTTTTTGATAATAAAGTCAATAAAAAGGTTTAAAATGCATTTTAAGCGTTAATTTTATCTCTTTTAATGCATTGCACGCAACGATCACACCAACTCCGCGCACGAGCGATAAGGTGCTTCTTCTCCCTGCGTCCTCTTCTTTGTTTTTTTAATCTTCTCTTTCTTTTATTGTTTATTAATTATTATTATTTAATAACAGATATATACTATACTTTAACATCTTTTTATCTGCTCATCTTACCCTCCTCCTTCTAGCAGGCCCCACTAGAGGAGAAGCTCTCTGCTACAGCTGTCTGTTTTGTTCGTTTGCATCTGTCAGCATACCGCAGCAAATTTATTTGTTATTTATTTTATCTTTGTCTCCGACTTCCGTGTATAAACAAATCAAGCATTAGTTCGCGCTGCAGCGTGTGTGCTCTCTTAGCAGCGGTGCAGCAATCGGAGCAGCAGCAGCAGCTGCAGCAGCAGCAGGAGCAGCAGCAGTAGGTGGAAGAGGAAAAGCAAGAGCAGCAGCAGCAGAAGCAGCAGCAGCAGAAGTAGCAGCAGCCGCAGCAACGAGTTGAGGTGCAGGAGCAGCAACAGCAGAGCTGCTGTGTGTGTGCACCTGCTTGTTTTATTGTTAGTCAGATTCTACAAGCGTTGCTGCTGTTGCTGCTGTTGCTGCAGCAGCAGCTACAAGTTGTAGACACAGCTCTACCTTTCTTCTTTCGGATGTACAGGCCGCCGTCCCCGTAGCCAAACCCCAATATATTAGCAGTGTCAGCGTGAACATCAGCATCAGCTGCAGCAACAGCAGCAGCAGCAACAGCAGCAGCATCAGCAGCAGCAAGAGCAAGAGCAGAAGCAGCAGCAGCCGCTGCAGCAATAACAACAGCTGCTGCACCAACACCAGCAACAGCAACAGCAGCTGCACCTACACCAGCAGCAGCACCAACACCAGCAGCAGCAGCAGCAGCAGCAGCAGCACCAACACCAGCAGCAGCAGCAGCAGCAGCAGCAGCAGAAGCCCATGGAGCAAGAACAATTAGGCTGGGATCCCGAGACAAGGGAGACACACACAGAAGTACGAGGGGGGTTGCAGCATGAGTCTGATGCATCTTTGCTTTATTCAGTAGATGGCGGCTATCTGTTTCCTCCGTCGACAGTTGAAACAGAAGTAACTGCTACTGCAGCAGCAGCAGCAGCAGCAGCAGCAGCAGCAGCAATAGGTGCTGAAGGTGGAGCAGCAGCTGCTGCAGCAGGACCCTCACGCAGCAGAAGCAAAACGTGGTGGCTGCTAGGGATTGTAGGGTCTCTGCTGCTGGTGACTGTTGCTCGTTTGCTGCAGCAGCTGTCTCCGAAACTACCAGGGAGAGAGCAGCAGCTGCTGCCTGTACAGAGTGAGGAGCAGCTGCTGCTGCAGCAACTTTTATCTCGATTTTCACAAGAGTCTGTTGGTGAGACCTTCCTCTCATACCCTAGTTTTGCTGCAGATGCACCTGGTTCTACAGCAGCAAGACGTAGCTTTGAGGAGCTTTTACAGAAAGCACAGCAGCATTATCAGCAGCAGCAGCAGCAGCAGCAGCAGCAGCAGCAAGGACGCCAAAGGGCACCTTCAAGCGCCGCTTCTGCAACTGCAGCAAAAAGTGCTGCTGCTCCCGGATCCTCTACCGGTGCTGAATCAGCAGAAGCAGAAGCAGCAGCAGCAGCAGCAGCAGGTGGTTTGCAGGAGTGGGAGCGGCAGCTAATGCGAGGGGCTCTCATTTTTGCTGATCTTTGTGCTCTTGAGAAAGCCTGCGGTGTTACTCCTTATAACCCTACTCGGCTGGGCTTCAGAGCGCCTGTGCAGCAGCAGCAGCAGCAGCAGCAGAAACGGCAGGAGCAACAGCAACAGGAGAAGGAAGAGGAGCAGCAACAGCAGCAGCTGCAGCAGCAGGAAGATAAGCAGCAGCAGCAGGCTGGTAATGATGATGATGATGATCACGAGGGTTGGCGTTTTGAAGATATGCCGAAGCAGCAAGGTGCTGCAGCAGCAGCAGCTGCTGCTGCTGCAGGTCCTGCTGCTGTTGCTGCTGCTGCTGCTACTGGTGGGGACATGGAGGCTGCACTGAAGCAAAAGTATAGAGAAGTTCGGCAGTGGCTGTCTTTGATGGAAGAAGAAATTGTATGTTTAAGAGCTGCGGAGCAGCAGCAGCAGATGGCTGCAGAGGGCAGCAGAGCAGCAGCAACAGCAGCAGCAGCAGCAGCAGGAGATTCTCGTAGCCCTTCATTGTACACTGAATCAGACACAGCAAGAGAGCTTGATAGAGCTGCTGGTTTAATATCAGCACTGAGAACAGCAGCAAGCAAGCTTGATGATACACTACTAGCGACAAACCTACGCGCTGCAGATGCTGCTGCTGCAGCATCAGCATCAGCAGCAGCATCTGCAGCAGCAGCAGTTGCTGCGATCCAACGTGAGGCAGAGGCATTGTCGGAAGGAGGATTAGAAGACAGTAAATATATACCCCCTTGGGTGCTGCAGCTGTTCGTACAGCCTAAAGACAGCACCCCCCGCTGCTTCGCCTGTCTTCGTCTTGCATGCGATCTCTTAGGACCTCCAGATTTTGCATCTGATACAGAGTACAGCTCAGAGTTTAAAGATGTTGTTGAAGACGGCTTATTATATGCACAGGGCAAAGAAGAGCTTGAGAAGCTGCAGAAACAGCAGCAGCAGCAAGAGCAGCAAGAGCAGCACCAGCAGAAGCAGCAAGAGCAGCAGCAAGAGGAGGAGGAGGAGGAACAGCAGCAGCAGCAGCAGCAGCAGGGATATAAGGAAGGGCCAGCAACAACTCTAGCTAGACAGCTGCTAGCTACTGAGATAGCTACAGATCTGAGCCTCGCTATGTTTAATATGACAAGTGCATATGACAAGCTTAGGAGTGCACTACACCGCGCAAACGATGCTGTGATAGCAGCAGGAGAAGCAGCAGCAAAAGCACACGCAGCAGCAGCAGCAGCAGATGCAGCAGCAAAAGCAGAATTAGAAGCAGCAAAAAGAGAGCACGCTCAACAACAACAGCAGCAGCAGGAGACAGCAGAAACAGAAGGTGCAGAGCAGCAGCAGGGTGCAAGCGCTATAGAGTTAGCAGCAATAGCAGCAGCAGCAATTCAAGCAGCATCAGAAGCATCAGATGAAGCAGCAGCAACAGCAGCAGCACTTGAAGCAGAAGGACGAGACTTATCAGCCATCATAGATAGATATGCATCTTTTGCTTCTAAATGGATACAGAAGATTGATAGAGGACAATGCTGGATGCTGCAGACGGGGGAGCAGCAGCTGCTGCGATTGTTTCTTCAGAGTGTAGGTAGTAGAGCGCTGCTAGAGAAGGCCCTAGCAAGCCTTGTTGCTTCAGCAGCAGATCCTGCTGCTGCTGCAGCAGACACGCAATGGAAGGATAGATACACAAAGACAAGAGCTCTTGCTACGCTTGCTGATATTAATATATCAACTGCAGCAAGAGGTGCTCTTGTTTCTAGAGGGATATTACCAGGCTTTACAAGTTTTATTACGGTAAATACTTGCAAAGACATGCATCATAGAAGCAGCAGCAGCAGCAGCAGCAGCAGCAGCAGCAACACCAGCAGCAGCACGATCAGCAGCAGCACGATCAGCAGCAGCGGGAGGGATGCAGCAAGGGAGGCCCTTCAACAAGAACAAACTTCTCTGCAGCAGGCTCTTGATGCTGCTGCTTCTGCTGCTGCTTGCTGCTGCTTCAGCTGCTGCTTCTGGTGCTGCTGCAGGGCGGCATCAGTCAGGTCCAGGAGATACACAGGAATGAGAGCAGCAGCAATAAAATATATAAATATAATGTTTATGCATTTATATAGCTAAATATATATATAATATATATATATATATATCTATATACGGATTAATCATATAAATGTACACCCTATAAATATCTTTTCTTCTATATATATCTTTCTTCAGTAACGACTCAACCCCTACTGTAAGAGGGGCATTACAAAGAACACCGCAACGCAGATTTACCTCAACAAGGGGGCCCCTATAGGGGCCCCTTTATTCCAACAAGGGGGCCCTCTTAGGGGCCCCCTACCTTAACAGGGGGCCCCTACAGGGCCCCCCTCTACCCCAACAAGGGGGCCCCTCTAGGGGCCCTCTACCCCAACAAGGGGACCCCTCTAGGGGCCCTCTACACCAACAAGGGGGCCCCTCTAGGGTCCCCTTTAGGGCCCTCCTCTACCCCAACAAGGGGGCCCCTCTAGGGGCCCCTTTAGGGCCCCTAAAGGGCCCCTCTAGGGC